ATCCCTCTATTTTTAAGATAATTGAGAAGTTTGCTCCAAAAATGGGTAATGGAAGTCTAAATAATGGAGAAGGGGGATCTTATCCTTAATTGGCTTCATTTGGGACCTCTGGATATTCTGCTGCTTTTTTTGGCTCCAAGCATTTAGTCATCCAAAGGTACATGATGTAGATTCGCAGTTGACATTGTTGTCAGTATCTGTCCTTTTGGTCTCAAAAAGTTTATCAACAGTCCTTGGAGGAGCAATCTTTGAGCATATTCCAGAGATTTGAAGATTAAATACTTGCAGGGTGATGAGCGACGATGTGTTGAAGCTTTCTCATCACTATCAGATGAAAAGAGTGGCTACCTGCCTGTTTTCAATGCTATTCATGGTTTGTACACTTTAATCATTCCTCTCTCCTCAGTTTCTCAAATTTTTATTCCTAATTTTCAACTTTCTCGAAGGTTTACATTGGCCGTTTGAATCACTTTATAGATGCTTACTTTATATATGATTGCTTGTCCATGTAATTGGCATGTGGGGTTGTTGAATTGCAGCTTAATTTATCTTCATATACAGACATTGTTCACTTGGCAGTTGGAAAGTAATCAAATTAAGTGACACATAAGCTGGAGTTGCGGATGAGAGTCATCATACTGTGGAATTCACTTTCTTTCACTAAACTGGAGAGCCACTTATTTGAGTATTCTTTGCCTGAGGGCTAATGACTTGTATTTAGCATAAGCGTACTCGTATTTTAACTTATCTAAGCTTCATAAAATTGCTATGTTGTGCTAATGACTTGACATGTGTCCTTTCGTTGACAGTTGTCCTTTTACTTTCGAATACTCGTCGTTGTTTTCAGAACATAGAGATATTATGGAAGCAAACATACTGGAACTGGCAGTTGGGCAATTTTGACAACGAAACATTCACTGATCAGATATTGACGATGATCTAAATGCAAAGTTTACCGCAGTGTTAGAACGTGCTGTAGTACCATTGTCTGTATTGACCCAATATCTGCTCTTTGCCTACTGTTGCTTTTAGTGACTGCTTAAGTTTGATGCTGATCAGCAAATTTGATAGTAGCATGTAGAGAATAATATTTTATTTTACTCTTTGACATTCTCTGTGTCTTGTTTAAGAGGCCTTTTAGGTATCCAGCTGCTTAAAGTTCTGGATTGCACCCATCATGACGATTCATTTATTTATGTAGGATGACTGAGCTGAGATATTTAATAGGGAAGATCGTTTAACTGCAAGTAGAGGACAAATAAAATCTGTTTATTAATCGCAGGCCCAAGCCAAAGCTTCTATTGTTAGTAGTACTAGTTATAAGGATTCTTTTCCTTCTTTTATTCTGCTTTGGTTCTATGAATACCTTTTCCAGTTTTGTATTCTGCTTATGGATGCTCAAACTTGTCTTAATTACAGGCACCAAGGGAGGAAGTATTGCTAATGCAGAGATCGGAGTTGAACTCAGAAGGATGAATGCTTGAAGCTTTACTAATGAGCATAGTATGGGTACATGCCTTCGATATGATTTACTTTAGAGAGGGTTGGATGATTGATTAACTTTGATGCTGGAGAATGTGAGCTACCACAACAGATCTGGACTGGCCATGAAATGAAAATTACATATTTGGTGGCTGGATGTCATTTTTTTCTTCTTACTATATCAAAGTTTGTCTGCTGAGATTTGCTTTATCCAAAAAGTTTTCTTGTTGAATTGGTTTGGTCATCTTGCATCTCATTTTGCATAGACAAATTATAGGGCAGGAAGGAGTTTGTTGTGCTGGTACTAGTTTTCAACTGGACCCGAGAACATTTTCTGATATGCTCGGGCCTTTTTCTGTGGTTTTCCCTATGGTTGTGAAGCTGATTGATTGCCTGGGCTGTCTGCTCGTGGAGATGTAGCTCTTTCTTTCTTTTTCTTCTTAAAAATTTTTTGGCTGATACTCTAAAGAAAGTGCTAGCACTTGGCAAATAAATGAGTATTATAAGTGACTTTTATCATATGTTATCATGTTATGGTATTTAAAGGAAAAAGCAAACTAGCACGAATAGTTGAATGATGAGAATAATAAAATCAAGTATCATCACAAATAATACACCCTAAACAATTTGGATGCGAATGATTTGAAAAAAAAATAATTTGCTTGCATCATTTCAATCTATTTTTTTTTATTTCACATACATCACATCACGAAAAATGTTACAGTAATTATTTTAAATAAATATCTCAAATAATCTTTTGTCCAAACATGCTAATTAAATTTAGTGAATTGATTAATAGGATACATGTGTATAGAGCTGTTAATCGAGTCGAGTCGAATCGAATATTTGACTGCCGAACTTGACTCAAGTTTAACTCGAGCTGAGCTCGAGCTCGCTCCAACAGGTGGACGAGTTTTGAAATGTGTTTGGATTCGACTCGCCAAATGGACATGTGGCTCGAGATCGAGCTCGACCCGTTTGTGAGCTTGCCCGAGGTCGACTCGTTTATCACAAATGAGTCGAGCTTGCACGAGCTCGAGCAAATTAATTCCAATAAAAATCTATAATTTTTAATTTTTATATTTTTGAATTATGAAATGACATATATGTACTTCCTTATTGAGCATAATTGAGCTACTCGGATAACAAACGAATCAAGCGTACTCGGTTTGTTAATTAAACGAGCATATCTCAAGGTCGAACTCGACTTGTTTACCACAATTAACGAGCTGAGCTCAAGCTTTATCGAATCGACCTCAATCGGACTTTCGAACTGCTCGTTTCATTTAACAGCTCTACATGTGTGCATGTTATAAACTAATTTTGATATCATTTAAATTATTATTTATCATAACTAATAGATAGTTGGATTTTTTTCTAATTGATCATTCATCGTATCTGTTAACAAGTTTTTTTTTTCTTTTGCTCCGTATATGTTAACAAGTGTTTTTCAAGAAAAGTGCTTATGTCGTAAGAATTTTGTAATTAATGTAGAATTAAAAATAACATAAGAGGATAACCTTTTGATGTGGGAGGGGTTTTGTTTGATTTTGGTCTAAAATGGAATGAGTAAAAGGGAAATGCTATTGTCACTCTCTCATAAGTTTATGTTCATGTGTCTCTATATAGTTTTTATTAAATTATTGAGTTTATTTTCATAAAAAAAAAACCAAAAATATTATCAAACTCAGAGTAATAAACCAAAAATGCTAAAAAGAGACCAAAAATACAAAATGAAAAACCAGAAAAGAATGAATTAATCACAAAACCTGAGAGGAGAGGAGAAGACAAGCTTCAGCAAAAGACAAAAGAGGACCATCGTCTTTCGCTCCTCACTCTGTCTCCTCAGCAGCGACTTTCTGATTTTGTAGCTGAACTCCGAAGGCAAAACCATCAAGAAGATGAGAAAAAGGGCCTTCTCTGTTGCTTATCTTTGTCACAAAGCAGGGGCGAAAGGTACTGCTACTACTGCCGCTTTTACTACTCTTTCATTTCTTTCTCCAATAAATTCAACCCCCATCCAATCAGCTTTTCACTCTGCAGCCCTCACTATTGGTATTGAAAGTAGTAATCATCATCAGGCTAAGCCTAACAACATTGTTCATTATGGGTCTCGGAGATTGAGGAGTGATATTGACGGTATCAGCAATCTCGATGAAGCTCTAGGCTTTTACAAGCAGATGGTACGGATGAAACCTCTGCCTAGTGTTGTTCATTTCAATAGACTGCTGGGTCGTATTGTTAAGATGAAGCAATATTTGGTGGTTCTTTCTCTTTCCAGGGATATGGCTGAGTTGGGATGCATTCCGCTTGATGATTACACGCTAAGTATTGTGATTAATTGTTACTGCTTCTTGGGTAGAGTGGATTTTGGGTTTTCTATATTTGGTGGCTTCTTCAAGCGAGGTATTTTGCCCAATACGGCCACCTTTACCACTCTGCTCAAAGGACTCTTTCGGGAACACAAAATTCATGAGGCACAAGGATTTTTCAAGAAAATAATATATGAAAAGCTATGCGTACCCGATAAAATTACGTATGGGACTGTGATAGATGGACTTTCTAAGGCTGGAAACACTAGCATGGCCATTCAAGTCCTTAGATTCATGGAAAAAAGAGGAAGGTGCAGGCCTGATACAGCTGCTTACAGCACTATTATCGACGGGTTGTGCAAGGATAAAATGATGGATCAAGCTCTCTTCCTGTTACACGAGATGATTGAGAAAGGAATTGCCCCTGATGTCATCACTTACAGTTGTTTGGTCCGGGGTCTGTGCAATTTAAGTAAATGGAAGGACGTTGAAAAGCTCTTGACTGAGATGAAGGCTTATAATATTGTTCCAAATGTTATTACTTTTAATATTCTTATTGATGCACTATGTAAGGAAGGACAGTTAGAAGGTGCAGAGGAGGTACTGAAATCATGATTGAGCAAAATGAGAAGCCTGATAATGCTACATATAGCGCATTGATGGATGGGTACTGTTTACAAGGCCGAATGGATGAAGCAAAGATAGTTTTTGATAAAATGGCTGCTAGCGGCCTTAATCCTGATGTTCAAAGCCATAGTATATTGATCAATGGTTATATGAAGAAAATGAAAGTGGAAGCAGCCATGAGTCTCTTCCAAGAGATCTGACATAAAGGGTTAACACCGAATGTTGTTACCTATACCACTTTCCTGCAGGGTTTATTTAGTGTCGGGAGGTATCTTACAGCAATCGAAGCTTTCGATGAGATGCGAGCTGCTGGCTTAAAACCTAATTTTCACACTTACTGTGTTTTGTTGAATGGTTTATGCAAGAATTCACATGTTGAGGAAGCACTTCAATTTTTGCACAAGATGGAAGTTGATGGAGTAGATTGTCATATAACAATGTACAACATCGTCCTTGATGGATTATGCAAATGTGGGAAGCTTGACAGCGCCCGGCATCTTTTCTATAGTCTCTCTTCTAAAGGATTGGATCCTAATGTTCCAACATATAACACGATGATAAATGGCCTCTTTTCAGAAGGTTTCCTAGAGGAAGCCAAAGAGTTTATTAAGAAAATGGAAGAAAATGGCTGCACTCCAAATCTAATTACATTTAATATTATTGTTCAAGGACTTCTTAAGGCTGGCGAATTAAATGATGCAGTGGTTTATTTTGATGAAATGGATAGGAGAGGATTCTCGCTGCATTTGTCTACTTTTTCACTTTTACTAGATTCATACAGAGATAGTGGAAATGATCCCTCTATTTTTAAGATAATTGAGAAGTTTGCTCAAAAAATGGGTAATGGAAGTCTAAATAATGGAGAAGGGGGATCTTATTCTTAATTGGCTTCATTTGGGACCTTTGGATATTCTGCTGCTTTTTTTGGCTCCTAGCATTTAGTCATCCAAAGGTACATGATGTAGATTCGCAGTTGATATTGTTGTCAGTATCTGTCCTTTTGGTCTCAAAAAGTTTATCAACAGTCCTTGGAGGAGCAATCTTTGAGCATATTCTAGAGATTTGAAGATTAAATACTTGCAGGTTTAATATGATAAGCGACGATGTGTTGAAGCTTTCTCATCACTATCAGATGAAAAGAGTGGCTACCTGCCCGTTTTCAATGCATTTCATGGTTTGTACTCTGTGATCATTCCTCTCTCCTCAGTTTCTCAAAATTTTATTCCTAATTTTCAACTTTCTCGAAGGTTTACTTTGGCCATTTGAATCACTTTATAGATGCTTACTTGATACATGATAGCTTGTCCATGTAATTGGCATGTGGGGTTGTTGAATTGCAGCTTAATTTATCTTCATATACAGACATTGTTCACTTGGCAGTTGGAAAGTAATCAAATTAAGTGACACATAAGCTGGACTTGTATTTAGCATAAGCGTACTCGTATTTTAACTTATCTAAGCTTCATAAAATTGCTATGTTGTGCTAATGACTTGACATGTGTCCTTTCGTTGACAGTTGTCCTTTTACTTTCGAATACTCGTTGTTGTTTTCAGAACATAGAGATATTATGGAAGCAAGCATACTGGAACTGGCTGTTGGGCAATTTTGACAACGAAACATTCACTGATCAGATATTGACGATGATCTAAATGCAAGGTTTACCGCAGTGTTAGAACGTGCTGTAGTACCATTGTCTGTATTGACCCAATATCTGCTCTTTGCCTACTGTTGCTTTTAGTGACTGCTTAAGTTTGATGCTGATGAGCAAATTTGATAGTAGCATGCAGAGAATAATATTTTATTTTGCTCTTTGACATTCTCTGTGTCTTGTTTAAGAGGTCTTTTAGGTATCCAGCTGCTTAAAGTTTTGGATTGCACTCATCATAGCGATTCATTTATTTATGTAGGATGACTGAGCTGAGATATTTATTCCAAGTAGAGGACAAATAAAATCTGTTTATTAATCACAGGCCCAAGCCAAAGCTTCTATTGTTAGTAGTACTAGTTGTAAGGATTCTTTTCCTTCTTTTATTCTGCTTTGGTTCTATGAATACCTTTTCCAGTTTTGTATTCTGCTTATGGTTGCTCAAACTTGTCTCTTAATTACAGGCACCAAGGGAGGAAGTATTGCTAATGCAAAGATCGGAGTTGAACTCAGAAGGATGAATGCTTGAAGCTTCACTAATGAGCATAGTATGGGTACATGCCTTCCATATGATTTACTTCAAGAAAAGTGCTTATGTTGTAAGAATTTTGTAATTAATGTAGAATTAAAAATAACATAAGAGGATAACCTTTTGATGTGGGAGGGGTTTTGTTTGATTTTGGTCTAAAATGGAATGAGCAAAAGGGAAATGCTATTGTCAGTCTCTCATAAGTTTATGTTCATGTGTCTCTATATAGTTTTATTAAATTATTGAGTTTATTTTCATAAAAAAACCAAAAATATTATCAAACTCAGAGTAATAAACCAAAAATGCTAAAAAGAGACCAAAAATACAAAATGAAAAACCAGAAAAGAATGAATTAATCACAAAACCTGAGAGGAGAGGAGAAGACAAGCTTCAGCAAAAGACAAAAGAGGACCATCGTCTTTCGCTCCTCACTCTGTCTCCTCAGCAGCGACTTTCTGATTTTGTAGCTGAACTCCGAAGGCAAAACCATCAAGAAGATGAGAAAAAGGGCCTTCTCTGTTGCTTATCTTTGTCACAAAGCAGGGGCGAAAGGTACTGCTACTACTGCCGCTTTTACTACTCTTTCATTTCTTTCTCCAATAAATTCAACCCCCATCCAATCAGCTTTTCACTCTGCAGCCCTCACTATTGGTATTGAAAGTAGTAATCATCATCAGGCTAAGCCTAACAACATTGTTCATTATGGGTCTCGGAGATTGAGGAGTGATATTGACGGTATCAGCAATCTCGATGAAGCTCTAGGCTTTTACAAGCAGATGGTACGGATGAAACCTCTGCCTAGTGTTGTTCATTTCAATAGACTGCTGGGTCGTATTGTTAAGATGAAGCAATATTTGGTGGTTCTTTCTCTTTCCAGGGATATGGCTGAGTTGGGATGTGTTAAACTCAGAAAAAGGGAATGAATTTTCCTTACCTTTTATTCATCAATCATAACGGTATATATACAAGTATAGACATATCTAGTTCCTATTATTTAGCCTACAGATCAGCCTACAATCTGTAACTTATCTAATCCCTACAAATCAGCTATCTAATCCCTACAAATCAGCCTACATCTGTAACTTATCTAATCCCTACAAATCAGCTATCTAATCCCTACAAATCAACCTACAATCTGTAACACTCCCCCTCAAGTTGGAGCATAGATATCAATCATGCCCAACTTGTTACATAGATAATCAGTACGGACCCTGTTAAGAGATTTTGTGAATATATCACCCAATTGTTCCCCAGTCTTCACATAACCTGTAGTGATCAAACCCTGTTGGATCTTTTCACGAATGAAGTGACAATCAATCTCAATATGTTTCGTTCGTTCATGAAAGACTGGATTAGAAGCAATGTGAAGTGCAGCTTGATTATCACATCGTAGCTTTGCAGGTACCGAGACCTTAATTCCTACTTCACTCAGGAGCTGATATACCCATATGATTTCACACACAGACTTTGCCATAGCTCTGTATTCAGCTTCTGCACTTGATCGTGAGACTACATTCTGTTTCTTACTCTTCCATGAAACCAAATTTCCCCCAACAAAAACACAATATCCTGAAGTAGATCTCCTATCTTCCTTACACCCTGCCCAATCAGAATCTGAGAAACATTCGATCCTAGTATGACCATAATTGCCATATAGGATACCACGTCCAGGAGCACCTTTTAAATAGTGTAAAACTTGTTCTGCTGCTTTCCAATGGTCAATAGTTGGTGATGACATGTACTGGCTCAGCACACTCACTGAATAAGCAATATCAGGACGTGTCACAGTAAGATAATTCAACTTTCCAATAAGTCTTCTATACCTCTCAGGATCTGCAAACAACTCACCTTCTTTGGTTAACTGTAAATTAGGAACCATTGGGGTACTACATGGTTTAGCACCCAATTTTCCCGACTCCATCAGTAAATCAAGCACATACTTCCTCTGAGATAGGAAGATTCCTTTCTTACTCCTGCTAACTTCAACTCCCAAGAAATACTTTAACATCCCCAAGTCTTGGGTATGGAACTGAGTAGTAAGAAAGGACTTCAGAGACGAAATTCCTCTAGGGTCACTACCTGTGATGACAATATCATCCACATATACAACTAACAGAATAATACCCCCATGAGATTGTTTATAGAAAACAGAATGATCGGACTTGCTCTTTTGCATCCCAAACTTTTCAAGAGCTTGGCTAAATTTTCCAAACCAAGCCCGAGGACTCTGTTTCAAACCATATAGAGATTTGTTCAGACGACAGACTTTCCCATACTCCCCTGGAGCAACAAAACCTGGTGGTTGCTCCATATAGACCTCCTCCTGAAGATCACCATGAAGAAAGGCATTCTTGATGTCTAATTGATGCAGAGGCCAGTCATAAGCTGCTGCAAGGGAGATAAATAACCTGATAGAAGCAAGTTTAGCTACAGGAGAAAAAGTATCATGATAGTCCACGCCATAAGTCTGAGCATATCCTTTAGCAACAAGTCTAGCTTTCAATCGAGAAATGGAACCATCAGGATTCATTTTGACCGTAAACACCCATTTACATCCAATAGCTCGTTTACCTGCAGGTAGGGTAACTAAAGTCCACGTACCATTGACATCTAGAGCATTCATTTCCTCAATCATAGCATTCCGCCATCCGGAATGAGCTAATGCCTCTTGAACAGTTTTGGGTACAGAAATAGTGTCTAGGGATGTAAGAAAAGCACGAGAAGAGGAAGACAAATGATTGTAGGAAACAACTGAAGAGATTGGATAAGTACATGCACGTTTACCTTTTCTTTGAGCAATAGGGAGATCAAGATCATCATTGGTAGTCGGATCTGATGACGAAGATACTGGTTCATCAGGACATGATGTTGGAGACTCCAGGACCAAGTCAGAACTGGGCAGATGTGGGCGACGCGAGTAGGTGTATTTGATGGGAGGCTTAACTGGTGTAGAGGGAGGCGAATCCAAATTTGGTATGACACTATAGATTAACAAATCATCATCCTCCCCCGGACTCACAGAACCTGAAGATGAGGAGAAAGGTGTTTGTTCCAAAAAAGTGACATCGGCAGACACAAGATACTTACCAAGACTAGGACAATAACAACGATACCCTTTTTGTACACGGGAATAACCCAGGAATATACACTTTAAGGACTTAGGATCAAGTTTTGTAACTTGAGGACGAACATCCCGAACAAAACAAGTACACCCGAATATCTTTGGTTCTATAGGAAACAATTGTCTATTCAGGAATAGAGTGTGTAAAGGAGTATTACCAGATAAAACAGAGGAAGGCATACGATTGATTAGAAAACAAGCAGTAGATACAGCATCAGCCCAGAAGCATTTAGAAACCTTCATTTGAAATAACAAGGCTCGAGAAGTTTCAAGAAGATGTCTATTCTTTCTCTCAGCAACCCCATTTTGAGAAGGGGTGTCAACGCAAGAAGTTTGATGGAGAATACCCTGCTCAAGCATGTATTTCTGAAAATTTCCTGAAACATATTCTTTTGCATTATCACTTCTTAAAATTTGTACTGGTTTACCAAATTGGGTTCGTATTTCAGCACAAAAGGAAGAAAAGTGAAAGAATAATTCTGAGCGATTTTTCATCAAATAAAGCCATGTCATTCTAGAATAATCATCAACAAAGGTAACAAAATATCTGAAACCAATTTTAGAAGTCACCGGACAAGGACCCCAAACATCGGAATGGACTAACTCAAAGGGAGCAGTAGCTCGTTTATTGATTCTAGGACTAGAACTAAGACGATGGTGTTTAGCAAACTGACACGACTCACAATCTAATGAAGTAATGTTCGAAAGCTGAGGACAAAGTTGCTTTAACATAGAAAGCGAAGGATGACCCAATCGACAGTGTTCTTCAAGAGGAGAGACTGTTCCAGCACAGGCTATAGACCCTGGTTTCTGTGTATCAAGAATGTAGAGACCGTCAGACTCATGTCCCTTACCAATAATCTTCTTCGTCATGAGATCCTGAAATACACAAGAACCAGGAAAAAATGAGACACAACAATTAAGGGCACGAGTAAGTTTGCTGACAGAAATCAGATTAAACGATAGTCGTGGTAGACTCAGAACAGATGACAAATGGAGAGATGATGTAGGTTTAGTGGTTCCAGACCCAATAACACTGGATGTTGAACCATCGGCTAAAGTAACAGGAGTGATAGATTTATGTGGCTGAAAGTTAGAAAGTAAATTGGGATTACCTGTCATGTGATCTGTAGCACCAGAATCAATGACCCATTTTGGAGAAGAGGAAACAAGGCATGTATTGGGTTTACCTGTCTCAACAAGTGCAGTAACACGACCGGATGACTGTTTCACTGTTTCGTGAAACTGAGTCAATCTGGCATACTCATCTGCAGAGATTGTAACAGACTTTTCAGAGGTCTCAGAACTAGATGCAACATGTGCAAATTGAGCTTTCTTATACTGTAGCTTTCGACAGTCCCGCTTGATATGTCCTGGTTTATGACAGTAGTGACATACAATTTCTCCTTGCTCCTTTCCACGATTTTCAGTAATTTTATCAGAGTTGTTGGACCCCGACCCCATGCTCTTACTGTTGCCACTACTCTTGTAGTGTTGTCTTCCTGAATCAAATGTGGTAGTACGACTAATAAGAACACTGTTAGGCTGAGTGGATAGAACAGGTAACGTATTCTCTGTACGAAGAATCCTTCGAAAAGCATCTTCTAGACAGGAAATTTCTGATCCGGAAAGAATTTGAGATTTGGCAGTCTCAAATTCAGACGGAAGACCGGCGAGAAAACTCATAACAGCCATCTTCTCTCGCTGATTCCGTTGTTCCTCCACATTGATACTGAAGGGAAGCAGCATATTGAGCTCTTCATATGTTTTCTTGAAGTCCATAAAATAACTGGTGAGAGACTTATCTCCTTTATCTGCCCTGTAAAAATCCTTGCAAACATCATAGATACGAGAGAAGTTTCCTTTTCCCGAATATAAGAACTGCAAATAGTTCATTAACTGTTTCACTGTCTTACAATGGGTAACCAGGCCCACCACCTCACTATCAATAGAATTACGAATTTGTATATACAAGCGAGCATCTTCTCTCACCCAAGACAGTCTAGAGTCATCCGTAGGTGGATCATCGGTCAGATGACCATCCATAGAAATACTGAGTAGATATAATTCAATAGTATGGTTCCAATCAAGAAAATTAATTCCATTTAATTTGTGTTCCGTGATTTTTGAAACCAACGGAACTATATCAGAAACTCCAGTCTTTTTGTCAGACATAATTGCTAAGAAAATTCAACAAGATAACAGATTACCCACAAGAGAACCTGTCGTAGCCAGGTCCCACACCTAGATCGATGTTGACCCAAAAACGTACCTCCCTGAGTTGGCGGTGTCTTTAGAGGAACCTTTAACGCCTGCACCTTGAATATGGCAGCAGCCTCCCTCACGCCCAACAGCCCAGAAAAATTTTTTTTTTTCTTAAAAAAACTTATGAACAGAACTGCTCTACACAGAACTGCGCTGATACCATGTTAAACTCAGAAAAAGGGAATGAATTTTCCTTACCTTTTATTCATCAATCATAACGGTATATATACAAGTATAGACATATCTAGTTCCTATTATTTAGCCTACAGATCAGCCTACAATCTGTAACTTATCTAATCCCTACAAATCAGCTATCTAATCCCTACAAATCAGCCTACATCTGTAACTTATCTAATCCCTACAAATCAGCTATCTAATCCCTACAAATCAACCTACAATCTGTAACAGGATGCATTCCGCTTGATGATTACACGCTAAGTATTGTGATTAATTGTTACTGCTTCTTGGGTAGAGTGGATTTTGGGTTTTCTATATTTGGTGGCTTCTTCAAGCGAGGTATTTTGCCCAATACGGCCACCTTTACCACTCTGCTCAAAGGACTCTTTCGGGAACACAAAATTCATGAGGCACAAGGATTTTTCAAGAAAATAATATATGAAAAGCTATGCGTACCCGATAAAATTACGTATGGGACTGTGATAGATGGACTTTCTAAGGCTGGAAACACTAGCATGGCCATTCAAGTCCTTAGATTCATGGAAAAAGGAGGAAGGTGCAGGCCTGATACAGCTGCTTACAGCACTATTATCGACGGGTTGTGCAAGGATAAAATGATGGATCAAGCTCTCTCCCTGTTACACGAGATGATTGAGAAAGGAATTGCCCCTGATGTCATCACTTACAGTTGTTTGGTCCGGGGTCTGTGCAATTTAAGTAAATGGAAGGACGTTGAAAAGCTCTTGACTGAGATGAAGGCTTATAATATTGTTCCTGATGTTGTTACTTTTAATATTCTAATTGATGCACTATGTAAGGAAGGACAGTTAGCAGATGCATAGCAGGTTTTAACTGCCATGATTCAGCAAAATCAGAATCCTACTACAGTCACTTGTAATGCATTGATGGATGGGTATTGTTTACAGGGTCAAATGGGTGAGGTAAGGAGAATTTTTGATAAAATGGCTGCTAGCGGCCTTAGTCCTGATGTTCAAAGCCATAATATATTGATAAATGGCTATATGAAGAAAATGAAAGTGGAACCGGCCATGAATCTCTTCCAAGGGATCCGACATAAAGGGTTAACACCGAATGTTGTTACCTATACCACTGTCCTGCAGGGTTTATTTAGTGTCAGGAGGTATCTTACAGCAATCGAAGCTTTCGACGAGATGCGAGTTGCTGGCTTAAAACCTAATTTTCACACTTACACTGTATTGTTGGATGGTTTATGCAAGAATTCACATGCTGAGGAAGCGCTTCAATTTTTGCACAAAAAGGAAGTTGATGGAGTAGATTGTCAGATAACAATGTACAACATCGTCCTTGATGGATTGTGCAAATGTGGGAAGCTTGACAGCGCCCGGCATCTTTTCTATAGTCTCTCTTCTAAAGGATTGGATCCTAATGTTACCACATATAACACGATGATAAATAGCCTCTTTTCAGAAGGATTACTACAGGAAGCCAAAGTGTTTATTAAGAAAATGGTTGCACACCAGATCTAATTACATTTAATATTATTGTTGGTGGACTTCTGAGGGCTGGTGAATTTAATGATGCAGTGATATGTTTTGATGAAATGGATAGGAGAGGATTCTCACTGCATTTGTCTACTTTTTCCATTTTACTGGATTCATACAGAGATAGTGAAAACGATCCCTCTATTTTTAAGATAATTGAGAAGTTTGCTCCAAAAATGGGTAATAGAAGTCTAAATGATGGAGAAGGGCCATCTTATCCATAATTGGCTCCATGTGGGGCCTCTGCATATTCCGCTGCTTTTTTGGCTTCTATGTGTAATCATCCAAAGGTACATGATGTAGATTCGCAGCTGATCATATTGTCATTATCTGTCCTTTAGTTTTCAAAAAGTTTATCAACAGTCCTTGGAGGACCAATCTTTGAGCATATTCTAGAGATTTGATGATTTAATGCTTGCAGGGTGATAAGCGACGATGTGTTGAAGCTTTTTTATCACTATCAGATGAAAAGAGTGGCTACCTGGCTGTTTTCAATGCTATTCATGGTTTGTACACTTTAATCATTCCTCTCTCCTCAGTTTCTCAAATTTTTATTCCTAATTGTCTCGATGGCTCACATTGTCTGTTTGAGTCAGTCTTATGTATGCTTACTTTATACATGATAGCTTGTCCATGTAATTGTCATGTCGGGTTACTAAATTGCAGCTTAATTTATCTTCTTATACAGACATTGTTCGCATGGCAGCTGCAAAATAATCAAATTAAGGGACAAAAAAAGCAGGAGTTGTGAATGAAAGTCATTGGACTGTAGAATTCACTTTCTCCAACTAAACTTGACTGCCAATTTTTTCGAGTCTTCTTTGTTTGAGTGCGTGTTCTAATTCTTCCCATATACATCCCTGCCCTCCCCTTAGACATGAAATTAGCTCACAAAATTAGCTCACAAGTCCCTGAATTTACGGATTAAAGATCAGAGAAAGTATAGCTAGCATTAACACCCAGAAGTTTTTTGGTGCCTAAAGTTTGCAAGTGACGAGCACAATTAAGGTCCTAAATAACATCAGTTTTGTATTAGGGCCATTAACTCTGAGTTTTTGTCACACATTTATTAACCATTTACAAGTCATGAACTACTGATACGCCTTTGGAAGGCAAAGGATGCCCTCCAGCCAAAGACTGAAGGGCAGCCGTGGCATAGCAGTTCTCAATCCGCTTGTTCTGGTTGAAGAGCAGCTATGGTTAAACTATTAAACTTCAATTCCCTTGTATCTTCTTTACCTGAGGGCTTTTCCCCACGGGAATTTTTCTGAGCTACATGCACATTGCAGGCACACTTCTGAGCTTTCTGCTCCCTTTCTCTAGAATGAGATGATAAGCACGCTGGAATATTTAGATTTTGTCATGTGTAGTTATCTGTGAGTGGAGAAGATAGAAGTAAGTTTGACTTAGTTGTTACCTACTGCATCTTCTATTCTATTATGGACGAAAAATTCTTCTCTTTTCCTTTCTGAATTTTGTGAGAGAAGATAGAAGAGCTTACTTAGTTGTTAGCATAATCAGAAGCCAGTGGATGCAGAGGGGGCTGCTTTTGTCGCTCAAAGTTCTGGCCTACATCATCTTCTATTCTTTCATTATGCCAAAATCGCTTCTCTAATATACTGGACATGCTCAGTGGAGCAGCATCAAGATGTTGAGTTTATCGCCCATACCATATGGTAATTGCATTGTTTATGTTAAACATTATTGTCCAAGGACTTATCAAGGCTAGTGAATTTGATGATGCAGTGGTTTATTTTGAAGAAATGGATTTAGCGAGGATTCTCACTGCAAGTGTCTACTTTTGCCTTTTTACTAGATTCGTTCAGAGATTGTGGAAACGATCCATCCCTTCTTAAGATAGTTGAGAAGTTTGCTCCAAAAATGGGCAATAACAGTCTAAATGTTCGAGAAAGGGGATCTTATACTTAATTGGGTCCATTTAGGATCTCTGGATATTTCACTCTTTTTTTTTGCTCCTTTTTTATTTGATTTTGCTCTTTAGATGCTCTTCTCCGTCCTTTTTAAAGACATCTTAGGTATGCAGCCATACAAAGTTGTTGAGTTTTTACTTGATATAGATTCAGATAGTCAATGTAGTATATTCAACTTGAAATATTTAGACATGTTGAACATTCTAACTTCAATAAGAGGGCAGTGTAAATGTCTCTTAATCACAGGCCCAAGCAGAAATTTCTACTATTATCAGTTCGACTTGTTTTAACAGTCTCTGCTTTTTCCTATTTTCCTATTGAAGTTTGTCTCTTAATCACATGCACTGCAGAAGCAAGTTTAGGTATGCTAAAATTGAACTCAAACGATAAATATTTGATTCTATCACTAATGATGACAGTATTGCTACGTATGAATGCAGATGGAAGAGTGCAATTTTTGTAACCTTAGTGAGTGGTGAATTAATTAATTAAAGTTGGCGCTGAAATATGCTATCATCACAGATCTGGATTGGCCATGAAATTTGACCCCAAAAAAAAATGCAGAAGTGTGGTCTGCGCATCCAAACTTTCAGAGCATTCTTCTGTGCCCGTGTCTTTCTGCTACCACTCTTTTCTCGGTGCCTGTTTCTTTTAGGTTTGTTCATGTGTTCTGAGTGAAAGTTTGACAGCCTGATGCCTGTTGAGTTCTGTCTACGTTTGGTAGGAAATGGAATGAAGAGCTTTACATTTGGTAAGAAATGGAATGACTTTGTTGCCTATGGAAAAAGAAGATGGAACCTGATGAATGCTATTTCATTACAGGGATACATTAATTCAAGAATGGGATAAACAGAAATATCAGAACAGGCACGTCAAAGAATGAAAGCACTGGATTAGAGCAAAGCAAAATCTAGTTGAACACACTTGATATTTTTGAAACACCATGAATCTGTGATGTAGTAGCTTTTCACTTTCCCTTCTCTTTCTAATGCTTGTACTCGTGCTAGCACTATACAATCGTAGTCTGTATACTTTGATGACATTAATTATCTGTATCTTTCTTTATTTTAGGGAACATGTTGAATTTTCCTTTTTCCACTTTCTGTCATTGAAAAGAATAGTGTCATCTGACAGCATCAGTGCATGTGCATCACCATGCAATCTAAGTCTTGGAGAGTTGGAAAGTAAAGGTTATCTCCCAATACAATTACAGTGACAGGCAAGGAGTTTAATAGTTTTAACAATTTGGGCGTTTGAAATTACTTTTAGGGTTAATCACACTGTGAAATTCTTGCTTTGTCTTAATACCTTGTTAAAATTATAAGTATCAATACTAATATCTTTGGTCCCAAAGAATAAAAAGCAAATGAGTCTCTAAATGGATTAATCAATTTGGTATGCAAAACCCCCTTTTTTTTGGTTGGGCAATTTTTTTCAAAGTTTTATTATTTTTCCTTTTTTTTAAGTGCACTTTTATTGAATTGTCTATTCAAAACAAGATAACAGATGAAATATCACCAAAAATTGATGATTATATTTATTTGCTATATTAAAAAGACGTTGGTATACTTTATCACGCTTAAAATACTTGCAATGTACCAAGATACGATATGTTTTTTATTGAGTAATGTACTCGATAAGAATAAGAACAAGGTAGATGATATTAGCACTTTTTTTTAAAAAAAAAAAAAGTTTTAGACTCTCCCTCTTTCTTTTTATATTATTTGAATTGAAAATTTTGCCCTCAAGCTTATAAGACTATCCTTCAAGCAATTTCTTTCTCCTTTCTTGCACACTTTATGGTTTAGACAACTACACCCTTAATCAACCTCGCAACTAGCCAGGTTTGGGACAATCCTTACTATCACCTAAAAATGCTCAAACATTCTTTGATCCTCATATAAGACGAAATTCATGATATAGCGTTATGAAATTGAGGATTCCATGAATTCAACAAAGACAACTATTTTACAGGTAAACCATCCTAAAAAGAACCAAATTCAGGTACCACAAGTTTATTAATCTGTCTTTAAATAATCCACCATAAACTCCTAAAAAGAACCACATCCAAGTTCCACAATTATATTAATCTCTCCTAAAGACAGAACTGCAATTATATAAGAAATTAAACAAAAGTAAAATTGGACAAATTAATTAAGCACTAAACTTTTGCAATAGAATGTAATGCACTTAGTCCTACATACATTTTTTTTTTTTTTTTGAAAAAGTACACACATTGACTCTGCAGCAAATATAGAGAAAAAAGCACCACCTTCACTAGGGAGTTTCTAAATTTTAATAGTAGTGGCAAACGTATCAATCAAGGACGAAAGTGAATATTGTTTTGTGGAGTTTTTTTTTGGGTTTCGGGGGGAGGGGGTAGTTTTGGCTGCTAAGATTAGGAAATTGGGTATAGATTTGCACTAACGGAAGTGATTGAAGTGATCGGTGGATATGAAAGGAGTAGAACTGGTGAGAAGTTAGAGATAGCAAGAATGACATATTGTTTTGTAATTGACACTAAATGAGGGGCGTATTTGTTAATTTTAGCAATATAAAAGAAAATTAGAGTGCTAGGGTTTTACTTGGAATGTTATTTTCATTTGACTAATAAAAATTGCCTTCAAAAATTAGCAAATTTAGCCCAAACTAAAATTATTATTATTTTTTGTCATTCATCGAGATGATTGGTTATATTTAAAAAAAAGCCTTTTTTTTTCTATGTTTAAGTATAACGTTTATTAAAGTACATTAGAACTAGAGTGATTGACTCCTTTTATAATGCTAAATAGCAATTTACATTTGTTTGGATTGTGAGTTTTTGCAGAAAAATTTTTACATTTTTCGTGAAGATATTTTCCAATCACATTTTTATCTCATATGTATATTTTTCATTAAAAATTCCTAAAAATAGCAATCCAAATAAGTATTTTTGACAATAATTAAGCACAACAATGTCATTGTACTAGTAGTTTGGGTACAACAACTTTTCTAAACATTTGATCAGCCTTCTTGGGCGGTACTGCATATCTTCAAGATTCATGGTAATAAAGTGTTATTTCTCCAAAATTTCAGGGCTAAACTGCTATTTGAACACTAACTTTTATTATTATTACTGTTTTCGGTAACAAACTTTTATTGCTAGTTGTATCGATCAAAGGCAAATTACTAAAAGGGAAAATTGTTTAAAACTTTTCTAACATTTTGTAAAATAATTTTTTTCGTCCCTCACTTTTAAAAGTGTAATTTTACGTCCCTTACAAATTTACATTAGTCAAATTTGGTTCTCTCAAACTAGTTTTTGATCGAAATCTGCCACATGCCTTGTCCGTGATAATTTTTTAAAGGCGAAATTATCAAATCTAATTTTACATAATTCGATTTATGGTCTCTCACATTTCATAAAATGAATTTTTTAGTCCCTTATATTTTACTAAATGAATTATTTTCATCATTCACATTTTTCAAAATAGATTTTTGTTATCCCTCATTGATCATGTGTGCGAATAGTTTCTTTTTAAAACCCATGTATATATTTATTTGATTTCACTTGAATAGTACGAATAGCATTTAAGATGTCTCTATTTGATTTCACCTAACGAAATTAGAGACAAATTACATGCTACTTTGTACTGCTTAGGTGAAATCAAATAGATATAAATATATATAAATTTTAAAAAATTGTTAGTTTTTCACTCATATTCATTTCTTTTTACTTAAAAATTGAAAACAAAGAAGACATTTAATTTTAAATATTATTGAGTGTTTATATTGAATTAAATTTGGACAGAAAAATTAAACAAAGGAAAAGTATGACAAAAAAAAGTAAGCAATAGGTATTTTAAAATTTGAAGAGAATCATAACAAGTAATTTAATTGTTGATCTTAAAAGTGACGAGTGAAAACTTCAGATTTAAATTGTAATTTATTAACACGACTATAGAATTTGAGTTATGACCGATTAATTAGATAGCCTTATTATACAACTCAATAAATAAATTATTATCAAAAGAAAAAGACCACAAATATTAAATAAGTTCACGTGGTGAGATCACATAGATATATACATGGGTTTAAAACAAAATTATTAGTTTTAAACCCCTATATATATATATATATATATCTATTGAATAGAATGTGTACAACTAAGATTAGACAGTTTATGTGAAATTAAATAAAGATATATTACATATTATTCTTACTGTTTAGGTGAAATCAAATAGATATATACATGGATTTTAAAAAAAACTATTGTACACATGATCAATGAGAAATGTGGGGGATGAAAAAATTTATTTTATGAAACATGAGAAACAAAACAGTTCATTTTTGTAAAATGTCAGGGATGAAAAAATTCATTTTATGTAATATGAAGGATAATAAATCGAATTATTTAAAATTTGATTTGACAATTTTGCCCTTAAAAAATGATCACTTGTAAGGCATATGGTGGATTCCGACAAAAAATTAGTCGAAAACCTAGGCCCTGTTTGGCACCCTAGTTTTTTACCAAGTTTTTTAGCTACTAGTTTTTTAACAACTTTTGCTACAGGAACCCCAAAAAACTTTTCAAAGTTTTTTACCTACACACTTCAAAAATCTATACACAAAAAATTTCTCAAAAACTTTTCTTCCTCCCTCACCCAACCCACCACACCAGACACCGCCTCCACCACCTCTCCCGGCGCCGCCGGTAACCTCAAAAAAAAATTTTGAATTTTTGAGTCCCTCACCCTCAAAAATTTATTATATATATTATATATTTATAATATTATATATTTATATATTTATTTAAACATATTATAAATATTTTATTTTATTTAAAATATATTTTTATATATTTATATAAATATTATATACCATATAAATTAATATTAATATAAATATGTAATTATACATTTATATAAATATTATATATTATATATTATATATTTAATATATATAATACATATTATATATATTACACATTTATGTATATATATTTATGTATATTTATATACAATTATATTATGTATTATGTATAATATAATACATTTATACATAATATTAACACACAATATTAATTATACATTTATACATAATACTAATACATTTATATATTTATATTAATTATATTAATACATTTATACATAATATTATATATTTATAAATTTATAATATATTAATTTATATATTTATATAATATTCATTTATAATAATATACAATTATTACAATTGTAAATATATTTATATTATGTATTATATATAATATAATACATTTATATATTTATATATACCTATATAAATATATTTATTTATAAATGTATTATAAATGCATAAATATATATAAATATTTGAACAATATTAATTATACATTTATACATAATATTAATATATTTATACATTTATATTAATTATATTAATACAGTTATACATAATCATCATATATATTTATAAATTATAAATTATACATTTATATAATATTCATTTATAATATATACATTTAAATTAATTATACATTTATAAATATATGTATATTATGTATTATATATAATATAATACATTTATATATTTTTATATAAATATATAAATATATTTATTTATAAATGTATTATAAATGCATATAAATATTTAAACAATAAAAATTATAAATTATAAACAATATTAATTATACATTTATACATAATATTAATTCATTTATACATTTCTATTAATTATATTAATACATTTATACATAATCATCATATACATTTATAAATTATAATTTATACATTTATATAATATTCATTTATAATTTATACATTTATACTAATTATACATTTATACATTTATAAATATATGTATATTACGTATTATATATAATATAATACATTTATATATTTTTATATAAATATATAAATATATTTATTTCTAAATATTTATAAATGTATTATAAATGCATAAATGTTTAAAAATATAAAAATATAAAAATTATAAATTATAAACTACTCAAAAATATGTTTTAAAAATACCTCTAAAAATAATCCAAAAAATGTCTACAGTAACATTTGAAAAACTTCTACAAAAAAGTTTTTCACCTTACAAAAACTTTTACAAAATTTTTTCAAAAACTTCTACAGTGCACTACAGTAAAGTTTTAGACAAACTCCCAAAAAACTCAGGTTCCAAACAGGCCCCTAGGTTGGGATCAAATTTGATTAACGTAAATTTGTAAGGGACGTAAAAGTATATTTTTAAAAGTGAGAGATAAAAAAGTTATTTTACAAATATATGAGAAACGTTTCGAATGATTTTCTCTTACTAAACATAACGAGGCACTATGCATATGCTTCTTTTGCTTCACTTATTGATTATTGGGGTAATTTCACAAATCTCTTCTAAGGATTGCTTTAATATCATTTAATATCCTTATAATTTCAAAAATCTCTCTTACCTCCCTTTGATTGACATTTTTTATAACATTCTCACCTCTTAATAAAAAATTCATAGACGAGGAGGGATAATAATTTACTTTGATTTGTACCCTTTCGTTATTCTTTATATAAATAGTAGAGCAGCAATTGAGACTAAAATAAACCTAACAGGCAAAAGGCAAATTGGAAGAGAAGTAAGTGCAACAAAGAGAAGTTGCAGCAGATAAGTAATTTTACAATTTTGCGATGATTAATACTTCATATCTAAAATTATCAAGACAAAATAAGAAACACAAGTTCAATGGTAAAATGAGCAACTTAAAGTGGAAATTAATAAAAGATATTGTAGCAAATTATAACAAGTTCTAATATTAAAAGGCACTCTTATAATTCACCAACTCATTTAATATAAAGAATTAATATTATTGATTACAGCAAGAAGGCAACAATCATCAGGATTTCAAAAGCGAAAAAAAATCCAAATAAGCCACATTTGCTTCTAATGCCCATTTGATGTGCTCCTAATTTGCTGGGTAATTGCAACGTCAAAAGTTCCCTACATTCTATTGCTACAGGATTAAAAAAAAAGTCATATAGTTTTGTTAATTGCTATTGGATTTTTAGAAAGGTAATATTGTCAATATGCTACCTATGATAGTAAGTCTCGTCACAAACGATAGAATCTTTGTAGCTGAACTCGTACGGGAAGACCAGCAAGAAGATGAAGAAAAGGCCTTTCTCAGTCATCTGTGATGCTCATCTCCGCCACAAATCAGGGGCAGGAGGTACTCTTTCATTTCTTTCTCCAAGAAACTCCACCCTTATTCAAAACCCACAATCGGCTTCTAGTTCTGCTGTTTCTCATGCCTATAGTACTGGTAGTACAATTAGTAATCATCACCCTAAATCTGACAGTAGTGTTCTTTCCGGGTCTTGGGGATTGAGGAGAAATATCGATAGTATCAGCAATCTTGATGAAGCTCTGGGCTTTTACAAGCACATGGCTCGGATGAGACCTCTGCCTAGTGTTGCTCATTTCAATAGACTGCTGGGTCGTATTGTTAAGATGAAGCAATATTTGGTGGTTCTTTCTCTTTACAGAGATATGGCTGAGTTAGGATGCATTCCGCTTGATGAATACACGCTTAATATTGTGATTAACTGTTATTGCTTCTTGGGTAAAGTGAATTTTGGGTTTTCTATACTGGCTGGCTTCTTCAAGCGAGGTATTGTGCCCGATACGGCCATCTTTAATACTCTGCTCAAAGGACTCTTTTGGGAACACAAAATTCATGAGGCACAAGGATTGTTCAAGAAAATAATATATGAAAAGCTATGCATGCCTAATGAAATTACGTATGGGACCGTCATAGATGGGCTGTCTAAGGCTGGGAACACTAGCATGGCCATTCAAGTCCTTAGATTCATGAAAAAAGGAGGAAGGTGCAGGCCTGATACAGCTGCTTACAACACTATTATCGACGGGTTGTGCAAGGATAAAATGATGGATCAAGCTCTCTCCCTATTACACGAGATGATTGAGAAAGGAATTGCCCCCGATGTCATCACTTACAATTGTTTGGTCCGGGGCCTGTGCAATTTAACTAAATGGAAGGACGTTGAAAAGCTCTTGACTGAGATGAAGGCTTATAATATTGTTCCAAATGTTATCACTTTTAGTATTCTTATTGATGCACTATGTAAGGAAGGACAGTTAGAAGGTGCAGAGGAGGTACTGAAAATCATGATTGAGCAAAATCAGAAGCCTGATAATGCTACATATAGCGCATTGATGGATGGGTACTGTTTACAAGGCCGAATGGATGAAGCAAAGATAGTTTTTGATAAAATGGCTGCTAGCGGCCTTAATCCTGATGTTCAAAGCCATAGTATATTGATCAATGGTTATATGAAGAAAATGAAAGTGGAAGCAGCCATGAGTCTCTTCCAAGAGATCCGACATAAAGGGTTAACACCGAATGTTGTTACCTATACCACTGTCCTGCAGGGTTTATTTAGTGTGCGGAGGTATCTTACAGCAATTGAAGTTTTCAATGAGATGCGAGCTGCTGGCATAAAGCCTGATTTTTACACTTACTCTGTGTTGTTAAATGGTTTATGCAAGAATTCACATGTTGAGGAAGCACTTCAATTTTTGCACAAGATGGAAGTTGATGGAGTAGATTGTCATATAACAATGTACAACATCATCCTTGATGGATTATGCAAATGTGGGAAGCTTGACAGCGCCCGGCATCTTTTCTATAGTCTCTCTTCTAAAGGATTGGATCCTAATGTTTCAACATATAACACGATGATAAATGGCCTCTTTTCAGAAGGTTTCCTAGAGGAAGCCAAAGAGTTTATTAAGAAAATGGAAGAAAATGGCTGCACTCCAAATCTAATTACATTTAATATTATAGTTCAAGGACTTCTTAAGGCTGGCGAATTTAATGATGCAGTGGTTTATTTTGATGAAATGGATAGGAGAGGATTCTCGCTGCATTTGTCTACTTTTTCACTTTTACTAGATTCATACAGAGATAGTGGAAATGATCCCTCTATTTTTAAGATAATTGAGAAGTTTGCTCAAAAAATGGGTAATGGAAGTCTAAATAATGGTGAAGGGGGATCTTATCCTTAATTGGCTTCATTTGGGACCTTTGAATAGTCTGCTGCTTTTTTTGGCTCCTTGCATTTAATCATCCAAAGGTACATGATGTAGATTCGCAGCTGACATTGTTGTCAGTATCTGTCCTTTTGGTTTCAAAAAGTTTATCAACAGTCCTTGGTGGAGCAATCTTTGAGCGTATTCTAGAGATTTGAAGATTTAATGCTTACATGGTGGTAAGCGACAATGTGTTAGAAGCTCTCTCATGACTATCAGATGAAAAGAGTGTCTGCTTGCCCGTTTTCAATGCATTTCATGGTTTGTACACTTTAATCATTCCTCTCTCATCACTTTCTCAAAATTTTATGCCTAATTGTCTCGATGGTTCACATTGTCTGTTTTAGTCACTCTATGTATGCTTACTTGATACATGATAGCTTGTCCATGTAATTGTCATGTCGGGTTACTAAATTGCAGCTTAATTGTTCTTATACAGACATTGTTCGCATGGCAGTTGCAAAATAATCAATTAAGTGACCAGAAAAAAACAGGAGTTGTGGATGAAAGTCATTGTACTGTAGAATTCACATTCTCCAATTAAACTTGACTGCCATTTTTTCATGTCTTCTTTGTTTGAGTGCATGTTCTAATTCTTCCCATATACATCCCTGCCCTCCCCTTAGACATGAAATTAGCTCACAAGTCCCTGAATTTACGGATTAAAGATCAGAGAAAGTGTAACTAGCAGTAACACCCAGAAGTTTTTACCTCCTGTGATAATTGGAAATTGCATTCTGTAAATTTTAGAGGTTACAAAGTGTTTTTTGGTTGATTTTGGTGCCTTAAGTTTGCAAGCACGAGCACAATTAAGGTCCAAACGGTTTTGTATTAGGGCCATTAACTTCTGAGTTTTTGTCACACATTTATTAACCATTTTCAAGTCGTGAACTATTGATGCACCTTTTGGAAGGCAAAGGACGCCCTCCAGCCAAAGACTGAAGGGCAGCCGTGGCATAGCAGTTCTCAATCCGCTTGTTCTGGTTGAAGAGCAGCTATGGTTAAACTATTAAACTTCAATTCCCTTGTATCTTCTTTACCTGAGGGTTTCTCCCCACGGGAATTTTTCTGAGCTACTGATACGCATTGCAGGCACACTTCTTAGCTTTCTTCTCCCTTTCTCTAGAATGAGGTGATAAGCATGCTGGAATATTTAGAAATTATCATCTGTAGTTATCTGTGAGTGGAGAAGATAGAAGTAAGTTTGACTTAGTTGTTACCTACGGCATCTTCTATTCTATTATAGACGAAAAATGCTTCTCTTTCCCTTTCCGAATTTTGTGAGAGAATATAGAAGAAGCTTACTTAGTTGTTAGCATAATCAAAAGCCATTGGATGCAAAGAGGCTGCTTTTGTCGCTCAACGTTCTGGCCTACATCATCTTCTATTCTTTTATTATACCAAAAACGCTTCTCTAATATATTGGACCTGCTCAATGGAGCAGCATGAAGATGTTGAGTTTATCGCCTATACCATATAGTAATTGCATTGTTTATCTTAAATATTATTGTCCAAGGACTTATTAAGGCTAGCGAATTTGATGATGCAGTGGTTTATTTTGAAGAAATGGATAAGAGAGGATTCTCACTGCAAGTATCTACTTTTGCCTTTTTACTAGCTTTGTTCAGAGATAGTGGAAATGATCCATCCCTTTTTAAGATAGTTGAGAAGTTTGCTTCAAAAATGTGCAATAACAGTCTAAATGTTGGAGGAGGGGGATCTTATACTTAATTGGCTCCATTTAGGATCTCTGGATATTTCACTCTTTTTTTTGCTCCTTTTTTTATTGGATTTTGCTCTTTAGATGCTCTTCTCTGTCCTTTTTAAGAGTTTTTACTTGATAGAGATTCAGATACTCAATGTAGTATATTTGATTGGTAATATTTAAACATGGTGAACATTCTAACTTCAATAAGAGGGCAGTGTAAATGTCTCTTAATCACAGGCCTAAGCAGAAATTTGTACTATTATCAGTTAGGCTTGTTCTAACAGAGTGTAATTTTTGTAACCTTAGTGAGTGGTGAATTAATTAATTAAAGTTGGCGCTGAAATATGCTATCATCACAGATCTGGATTGGCCATGAAATTTGTCCCCAAAAAAAATGCAGAAGTGTGGTCTGCGCATCCAAACTTTCAGAGCATTCTTCTGTGCCTGTGTCTTTCTGCTACCACTCTTTTCTTGGTATCTGTTTCTTTTAGGTTTGTTCATGTGTTCTGAGTGAAAGTTTGACAGCCTGATGCCTGTTGAGTTCTGTTTACATTTGGTAGGAAAGGGAATGAAGAGCCTTACATTCGGTAAGAAATGGAATGACTTTGTTGCCTATGGAAAAAGAAGATGGAACCTGATGAATGCTATTTCATTACAGGGATACATTAATTCCAGAATGGGACAAACAGAAATATCAGAACAGGCACGTCAAAGAATGAAAGCACATAGGATTCGAGTAAAGCAAAATCTAGTTGAACATGCTTGATATTTTTGAAACACCACTGAATCTGTGATGTAGTAGCTTTTTTCTTTCCCTTCTCTTTGTAATGCTTGTACTCGTTCTAGCACTATACAATAGTAGTAGGTATACTTTGATGACATTAATTATCTGTTATCTTTCTTTATACAATAGTAGTAGCCCTTAATTCTGACTTGAATTTCCCTTTTTCCACTTTCTGTCATTGAAAAGAATAGTGTCATCAGACACTATCAGTGCATGTGCATCACCATGCAATCTAAGTCTTGGAGAGTTGGAAAGTAAAGGTTATCTCCCAATACAATTATAGTTACAGGTGAGGAGTTTAATAGTTTTAATGACTTGGGTGTTAGAAATTGCTTTTAGGGTTAATCACACCGTGAAATCCTTGTTTTGTCTTAATACCTTGTTAGAATTATAAGTATCAATACTAATAGCTTTGGTCCCAAAGAATAAAAAGCAAATGAGTCTTTAAGTGGATTAATCAATTTGGTATGCAAAACCCTTTTATTTTGGTTGGGCAATTTTTTTTCAAAGTTATTGTTTTTCCTTTTTGTTTAAGTGCTATTTCAAAACAAGATAACAAATGAAATATCACCAAAATTTGATGATTATATTTATTAGCTGTATTAAAAAGATGTGGATATGCTTTTTCACGCTTAAAATACTTGCAGTGTACCATGATACTATATGTTTTTTATTGAGTAATGTACTTGATAAGAATAAGAACAAGGTAGAAGATATTAGCACTTTTTTTAAAAAAAGTTTTAGAAGATATTGCATTTGTCTACTTTTTCATTTTTACTAGATTCATACAGAGATAGTGGAAATGATCCCTCTATTTTTAAGATAATTGAGAAGTTTGCTCCAAAGATGTGTAATGGAAGTCTAAATAATGGAGAAGGGGGATCTTATCCTTAATTGGCTTCATTTGGGACCTTTGGATATTCTGCTGCTTTTTTTGGCTCCTTGCATTTAATCATCCAAAGGTACATTATGTAGATTCGCGGCTGACATTGTTGTCCGTATCTGTCCTTTTGGTTTCCAAAAGTTTATCAACAGTCCTTGGAGGACCAATCTTTGAGCATATTCTAGAGATTTGAAGATTAAATACTTGCATGGTGGTAAGCGACAATGTGTTAGAAGCTCTCTCTTGACTATCAGATGAAAGAGTGTCTGCCTGCCCATTTTCAATGCATTTCATGGTTTGTACACTTTAATCATTCCTCTCTCCTCAGTTTCTCAAAGTTTTATTCCTAATTTTCAACTTTCTCGAAGGTTTACATTGGCCGTTTGAATCACTTTATATATGCTTACTTTATATATGATTGCTTGTCCAGGTAATTGGCATGTGGGGTTGTTGAATTGCAGCTTAATTTATCTTCATATACAGACATTGTTCACATGGCAGTTGGAAAATAATCAAATTAAGTGACACGTAAGCTGGAGTTGCAGATGAAAGTCATCATACTGTGGAATTCACTTTCTTTCACTAAACTGGAGAGCCACTTTTTTGAGTATTCTTTGCCTGAGTGCTAATGACTTGTATTTAGCATAAGCGTGCTCGCATTTTAACTTATCTAAGCTTCATAAAATTGCTATGTTGTGCTAATGACTTGACATGTGTCCTTTCGTTGGCAGTTGTCCTTTTACTTTCGAATACTCATTGTTGTTTTCAGAACATACTGATATTATGGAAGCAAACATACTGGAACTGGCAGTTGGGCAATTTGGACAACGAAACATTCACTGATTAGATATGGACGATGATCCAAATGCAAAGTTTACTGCAGTGTTAGAACGTTCTGTAGTACCATTGTCTGTATTGACCCAATATCTGCTCTTTGCCTACTGTTGCTTTAGCGACTGCTTAAGTTTGATGCTGATCAGCAAATTGATAGTAGCATGTAGGGAATAATATTTTATTTTGCTCTTTGACACTCTGTGTGTCTTGTTAAGAGGCCTTTTAGGTATCCAGCTGCTTAAAGTTCTGGATTGCACCCATCATAGCGATTCATTTATTTATGTATGTTGGATGACTGAGCTGAGATATTTAATAGGGTTGATCGTTTAACTGCAAGTAGAGGACAAATAAAATCTGTTTATTAATCGCAGGCCCAAGCCAAAGCTTCTATTGTTAGTAGTACTAGTTATAAGGATTCTTTTCCTTCTTTTATTCTGCTTTGGTTCTTTGAATACCTTTTCCAGTTTTGTATTCTGCTTATGGTTGCTCAAACTTCTCTTAATTACAGGCACCAAGGGAGGAAGTATTGCCAATGCAGAGATCGGAGTTGAACTCAGAAGGATGAATGCTTGAAGCTTTTACTAATGAGCATGGCATGATTTCGACATGATTTACTTTAGAGAGGGTTGGATAATTGGTTAACTTTGATGCTGGAGAATGTGAGCTACCACAACAGATCTGGACTGGCCATGAAATGGAAATTAGATATTTGGTGGCTGGATGTCATTTTTTTCTTCTTACTATATCAAAGTTTGTCTGCTGAGATTTGCTTGTATATTATCCTAAAAGTTTTCTTGTTCAATTGGTTTGTTGGCCATCTTGCATCTCATTTTGCATAGACAAATTATAGGACAGGAAGGAGTTTGTTGAGCTAGTACTAGTTTTCAACTGGACCCGAGAACATTTTCTGATATGCTCGGGCCTTTTTCTGTGGTTGTGAAGCTGATTGATTGCCTGGGCTGCCTGCTCGTGGAGATGTAGCTCTTTCTTTCTTTTCTTTTTAAAAATTTTTTGGCTGATACTCTAATGAAAGTGCTAGCGCTTGGCAAATAAATGAGTATTATAAGTGACTTTTATCAGATGTTATCATGTTATGGTATTTAAAGGAAATGATAATAATAATAATAAAATCAAGTATCATCACAAAGGATACATTCTAAACAATTGGATGCGAATGATTCGAAAATAAATAATTTGCTTGCATCAGTTAAACATTTTTTTTTATTTTTTCAATCATTTTTTTTATCTCACATGTATCACATCACAAATAGTATTACAATAATTATTTTAAATAAATATCTCAAATAATTTTCCATCCAAACACACTCATTGAATTTAGTGAATTGATTAATAGGATACATGTGTGCATGTTATAAACTAATGTTGATATCATATAAATTATTAAATGTCATAACTAATAGATATTTGGATTTTTTTTTTCTAATTGACCATTCATCGTATCTGTCAACATGTGTTTTTTTGCTCCGTATATGCTAACAAGTGTTTTTCAAGAAAAGTGCTTATGTCGTAATAATTTTGTAATTAATGTAGAATTAAAAATGACAAAAGAGGATAACCTTTTGATGTGGGAGGGATTTTATTTGATTTTGGTCTAAAATGGAATTTACACTCTATTTTTTGTTCTTTGCATTTTCACCATTTATTTTATTATATAATTTAATAAATAAAAATTATATGATTAAAATAATAGTGAAAGTATCAATAAGAAAATGGGAGTATAAATAACATTTTTCGAGCAAATTGGTGATCAAAATAAGGATTTTTTATTTTCAGTGCCACGGATCCATTCACAGATTTCGATAAAAAAAAAAGACATTACACGTGTCCCCAATAACTTGGCCTTATTATTATAAAATATTTCATGTTTTAATACTAATTCAATCTGTGATAAGTTTATGCTCATGTGTCTCTATATAGTTTTCTTAAATTATTGAGTTTATTTTCATAAAAAAAGCCAAAAATATCAATCTCAGAGTAATAAACCAAAAATGCTAAAAAGAAACCAAAACTACAAAATGAAAAACCAGAAAAGAATATGAGAAAAAGTTAATCACAAAACCTGAGAGGAGACGAGACGACAACCTTCAGCAAAAGACAAAAGAGGACCATCGTCTTTGGCTCCTCAGCTCCGAAGGCAATACCATCAAGAAGATGAGAAAAAGGGCCTTCTCAGGTACTGCTACTACTGCCGCTTTTACTACTCTTTCATTTCTTTCTCCCATCCAATCTGCTTTTCACTCTGCAGCCCTCACTATTGGTATTTGAAGAGGTGATTTTTGGTGGGTATTCGAACCGACCGGAATCAGTCTCTTCTAAGGTGAAGTGAGGTGAATCTTCTTGTCCGTGAATGGCGGGGCTTCTCCCCTGAGATCTATCCGACGATCAAGTTAATATGAGAATGAGAGAAAAGCGATGGTATTGTCAAATGAACAGTATGCTTACTTGTTAGGGGTATATGAGGGGTATTTATAGAGTGGGAGTGGATGGTAGGACGGAGGTCTTATGCTGGTGGGACCCATGTCCTGCCATTACGGCTCTGCTCTCTGTCAGGCGATCTGACTCTGACACTGTAGCCGCCTAGACAGGGTGATGAGGAGTCTTATGCAGTAGCCATTAAGTGCGACAGTGCTTTTCAGATAAAGCACTGGTCCTGGATGATGTCAGATGGGCTGACATCATCAGCATGCAGCCGAGGCGGAGGTATGAAATATAGAGGTCATCTGGGCAGTAGACCAGAGGCCTGTCCGAGATCAGGGATCATACTCAGGACAAGACTTCACTCGTGTGAGGAATGAAGTGGATTCACAGATCACCTCGACCGAGCGAGGGTCGCCGAGGTGAGCACCCTCAGTATTAAAAGTAGTAATCATCATCAGGCTAAGCCTAACAACATTGTTCATTATGGGTCTCCGGGATTAAGGAGTGATATTGACAGAATCAGCAATCTTGATGAAGCTCTAGGCTTTTACAAGCAGATGGTCCGGATGAGACCTGTGCCTAGTGTTGTTCATTTCAATAGACTGCTGGGTCGTATTGTTAAGATGAAGCAATATTTGGTGGTTCTTTCTCTTTACAGAGATATGGCTGAGTTAGGATGCATACCACTTGATGAATACACGCTTAATATTGTGATTAACTGTTACTGCTTCTTGGGTAAAGTGAATTTTGGGTTTTCTATATTTGGTAGCTTCTTCAAGCGAGGTGTTTTGCCCGATACGGCCACCTTTAATACTCTGCTCAAAGGACTCTTTTGGGAACACAAAATTCATGAGGCACAAGGATTGTTCAAGAAAATAATATATGAAAAGCTATGCATACCGAGTGAAATTACGTATGGGACCGTCATAGATGGGCTTTCTAAGGCTGGGAACACTAGCATGGCCATTCAAGTCCTTAGATTCATGGAAAAAGGAGGAAGGTGCAGGCCTCATACAGCTGCTTACAACACTATTATCGACGGGTTGTGCAAGGATAAAATGATGGATCAAGCTCTCTCCCTTCTACCTGAGATGATTGAGAAAGGAATTGCCCCCGATGTCATCACTTACAATTGTTTGGTCCGGGATCTGTGCAATTTAAGTAAATGGAAGGACGTTGAAAAGCTCTTGACTGAGATGAAGGCTTATAATATTGTTCCAAGTGTTATTACTTTCAATATTCTGATTGATGCACTATGTAAGGAAGGACAGTTAGAAGGTGCAGAGGAGGTACTGAAAATCATGATTGAGCAAAATCAGAAGCCTGATAATGCTACGTATAGAGCATTGATGGATGAGTACTGTTTACAAGGCCGAATGGACGAAGCAAAGATAGTTTTTGATAAAATGGCTGTTAACGGCCTTAGTCCTGATGTTCAAAGCCATAATATATTGATCCACGGCTATATGAAGAAAATGAAAGTGGAAGCAGCCATGAGTCTCTTCCGAGAGATCCGACATAAAGGGTTAACACCGAATGTTGCAACTTATAACACTGTCCTGCAGGGTTTATTTAGTGTGCGGAGGTATCTTACAGCAATCGAAGTTTTCAATGAGATGCGAGCTGCTGGCATAAAGCCTGATTTTTACACTTACTCTGTGTTGTTAAATGGTTTATGCAAGAATTCACATGTTGAGGAAGCACTTCAATTTTTGCACAAGATGGAAGTTGATGGAGTAGATTGTCATATAACAATGTACAACATCATCCTTGATGGATTATGCAAATGTGGGAAGCTTGACAGCGCCCGGCATCTTTTCTATAGTCTCTCTTCTAAAGGATTGGATCCTAATGTTTCAACATATAACACGATGATAAATGGCCTCTTTTCAGAAGGTTTCCTAGAGGAAGCCAAAGAGTTTATTAAGAAAATGGAAGAAAATGGCTGCACTCCAAATCTAATTACATTTAATATTATAGTTCAAGGACTTCTTAAGGCTGGCGAATTTAATGATGCAGTGGTTTATTTTGATGAAATGGATAGGAGAGGATTCTCGCTGCATTTGTCTACTTTTTCACTTTTACTAGATTCATACAGAGATAGTGGAAATGATCCCTCTATTTTTAAGATAATTGAGAAGTTTGCTCAAAAAATGGGTAATGGAAGTCTAAATAATGGTGAAGGTGGATCTTATTCTTAATTGGCTTCATTTGGGACCTTTGGATATTCTGCTGCTTTTTTTGGCTCCTAGCATTTAGTCATCCAAAGGTACATGATGTAGATTCGCAGTTGATATTGTTGTCAGTATCTGTCCTTTTGGTCTCAAAAAGTTTATCAACAGTCCTTGGAGGAGCAATCTTTGAGCATATTCTAGAGATTTGAAGATTAAATGCTTGCATGGTGGCAAGCGACAATGTGTTAGAAGCTCTCTCATGACTATCAGACGAAAAAGTGTCTGCTTGCCCGTTTTCAATGCATTTCATGGTTTGTACTCTGTGACCACGCCTCTCTCATCACTTTCTCAAAATTTTATGCCTAATTGTCTCGATGGTTCACATTGTCTGTTTGAGTCACTCTTATGTATGCTTACTTGATACATGATAGCTTGTCCATGTAATTGTCATGTCGGGTTACTAAATTGCAGCTTAATTGTTCTTATACAGACATTGTTCGCATGGCAGTTGCAAAATAATCAATTAAGTGACCAAAAAAAACAGGAGTTGTGGATGAAAGTCATTGTACTGTAGAATTCACTTTCTCCAAATAAACTTGACTGCCATTTTTTCGAGTCTTCTTTGTTTGAGTGTGTGTTCTAATTCTTCCCATATACATCCCTGCCCTCCCCTTAGACATGAAATTAGCTCACAAGTCCCTGAATTTACGGATTAAAGATCAGAGAAAGTGTAACTAGCAGTAACACCCAGAAGTTTTTACCTCCTGTGATAATTGGAAATTGCATTCTGTAAATTTTAGAGGTTACAAAGTGTTTTTTGGTGGGTTTTGGTGCCTTAAGTTTGCAAGCACGAGCACAATTAAGGTCTAAACAGTTTTGTATTAGGACCATTAACTTCTGAGTTTTTGTCACACCATTTTCAAGTCGTGAACTATTGATGCACCTTTTGGAAGGCAAAGGATGCCCTCCAGCCAAAGACTGAAGGACAGCCGTGGCATAGCAGCTCTCAATCCGCTTGTTCTGGTTGAAGAGCAGCTATGGTTAAACTATTAAACTTCAATTCCCTTGTATCTTCTTTACTTGAGGGTTTCTCCCCACGGGAATTTTTCTGAGCTACTGATACACATTGCAGGCACACTTCTGAGCTTTCTGCTCCCTCCCTTTCTCTAGAATGAGGTGATAAGCATGCTGGAATATTTAGAAATTATCATCTGTAGTTATCTGTGAGTGGAGAAGATAGAAGTAAGTTTGACTTAGTTGTTACCTACGGCATCTTCTATTCTATTATAGACGAAAAATGCTTCTCTTTCCCTTTCTGAATTTTGTGAGAGAATATAGAAGAAGCTTACTTAGTTGTTAGCATAATCAAAAGCCATTGGATGCAAAGAGGCTGCTTTTGTCGCTCAACGTTCTGGCCTACATCATCTTCTATTCTTTTATTCTACCAAAAACGCTTCTCTAATATACTGGACCTGCTCAATGGAGCAGCATGAAGATGTTGAGTTTATCGCCTATACCATATAGTAATTGCATTGTTTATCTTAAATATTATTGTCCAAGGACTTATTAAGGCTAGCGAATTTGATGATGCAGTGGTTTATTTTGAAGAAATGGATAAGAGAGGATTCTCACTGCAAGTATCTACTTTTGCCTTTTTACTAGCTTTGTTCAGAGATAGTGGAAATGATCCATCCCTTTTTAAGATAGTTGAGAAGTTTGCTCCAAAAATGTGCAATAACAGTCTAAGTGTTGGAGGAGGGGGATCTTATACTTAACTGGCTCCATTTAGGGTCTCTGGATATTTCACTCTTTTTTTGCTCCTTCTTTTTATTTGATTTTGCTCTTTAGATGCTCTTCTCTGGCCTTTTTAAGGACATCTTAGGTATCCAGCCATGCAAAGTTGTTGAGTTTTTACTTGATAGAGATTCAGATACTCAATAGGAGGGCAGTGTAAATGTCTCTTAATCACAGGCCGAAGAAGAAATTTCTACTATTATCAGTTTGACTTGTTTTAACAGTCTCTGTTTTTTCCCATTTTGCTGTTGGTTCTTTAAAATAACTCTTTCAACGCTTATGTTCTGCTTCAGTTCTTTAAGTTCGTCTCTTAATCACATGCACTGTAGAAGCAAGTTTCGGTATGCTAAGATTGAACTCAAACGATAAATATTTGATTCTATCACTAATGATGACAGTATTGCTACGCATTAATGCAGATGGAAGAGTGCAATTTTTGTAACCTTAGTGAGTGGTGAATTAATTAATTAAAGTTGGCGCTGAAGTATGCTATCATCACAGATCTGGATTGGCCATGAAATTTGACCCCAAAAAAAAAAATGCAGAAGTGTGGTCTGCGCATCTAAACTTTCGGAGCATTCTTCTGTGCCTGTGTCTCTCTGCTACCACTCATTTCTTGGTGTCTGTTTCTTTTAGGTTTGTTCATGTGTTCTGAGTGAAAGTTTGACAGCCTGATGCCTGTTGAGTTCTGTTTACATTTGGTAGGAAAAGGAATGAAGAGCTTTACATTTGGTAGGAAATGGAATGACTTTGTTGCCTATGGAAAAAGAAGATGGAACCTGATGAATGCTATTTCATTGCAGGGATACATTAATTCAAGAATGGGATAAACAGAAATATCAGAACAGGCACGTAAATCTAGTTGAACACACTTGATATTTATGAAACACCACTGAATCTGTGATGTAGTAGCTTTTTTCTTTCCCTTCTCTTTGTAATTTTTTTTCCCAACAAACGTTAACAGATTCATATATATATATATGGACACTTGATAGTACAAGATTTAATTACAAAAAGGGGCTACTACCCTCATTTCTTTCTGCACTAAGTCCATCAGCCATCTTGGGAAGTCTTGTTCCCATTCAATATCATGCACTAGCTTGACAGCACATTGATCCTCATATAAGACTGAAATTCATGATATAGTGCGATGAAATTGAGGATTCCATGAATTCAATAATGGCAACTATTTTACACAGGTAAACCATCCCAAAAAGAACACAAATTCAGGTACCACAATTTTACACAAATTCAGGTACAACAATTTTATTAATCTCTCTTTAAATAATCCACCATAAACTCCTAAAAAGAACCAAATCCAAGTTGCACAATTATATTAATCTCTCCTAAAGACAGCACTGCAATTATATAAGAAATTAAACAAAAGTAAAATTGAACAAATTAATTAAGCACTAAACTTTTGCAATAGAATGTAATGCACCTAGTACTACATAAAGTACACACATTGACTCTGCAGCAAATACAGAGAAAAAAACACCACCTTCACTAGGGAGTTTCTAAATTTTAATAGTAGTGGCAAATGTATCAACCAAGGATAAAAGTGAATATTGTTTTGTGGGAGTTTTTTTTGAGTTTCCGAAGGGGTGGGGTTGTTTTGGCTGCTTGGATTAGGAAATTGGGTATACATTTGCACTAGCGGAAGTGATTGAAGTGGTTGGTGGATATGAAAGGAGTAGAACTGGTGAGAAGTTAGGAATAGAAAGAAAAGCATATTATTTTGTAACTGACACTAAGTGATGGGCATATTTGTCAATTTTAGTAATAGAAAAGAAAATTAGAGTGCTGAGGTTTTACTTGGAATGTTATTTTCATTTGACTAATAAAAATTGCCTTCAAAAATTAGCAAATTCAGTCCAAACTGAAATTATTATTATTTTTTGTTATTCATCGAGATGATTGGTTACATTTTAAAAAATAGCCTTTTTTCTATGTTTAAGTATAACTTTTATTAAAGTACATTAGAACTAGAGTGATTGACTCCTTTTATAATGCTAAATAGCAATTTACACTTGTTTGGATTGTGAGTTTTTGCAGAAAAATGTTTACGTTTTTCGTGAAGATATTTTCCAATCACTTTTTTACCTCACATACATCAAATTACTATAGTATGTTTTTCATTAAAAATTCCTAAAAATAGCAATCCAAATAAGTATTTTTGACAATAATTAGGCACAACAATGTCATTGTACTAGTAGTTTGGGTAGAGCAACTTTTCTAAACATTTGATCAGCTTTCATGGGCGGTAAAGTGCATATCTTCAAGATTCATGGTAATAAAGTGTTATTTCTCCAAAATTTCAGGGCTAAACTGCTATTTGCACACTAACTTTTATTACTAGTACTGTTTTCGGTAACAAACTTTTATTGCAAGTTGTATCGATCAAAGGCAAATTACTAAAAGGGAAAATCATTTAAAACTTTTCTAACATTTTGTAAAATAATTTTTTTCGTCCCTCACTTTTAAAAGTGTAATTTTACGTCCATTACAAATTTACATTAGTCAAATTTGGTTTCCGTCTAGGTTTCAAACTAGTTTTTGATCGAAATCTGCCACATGCCTTGTCCGTGATAATTTTTTAAAGGCGAAATATCAAATCTAATTTTACATAATTCAATTTATTGTCTCTCACACTTCATAAAATGAATTTTTTAGTCCCTTATATTTTACTAAATGAATTCTTTTCATCATTCACATTTTTCAAAATAGAGTTTTCTTATTCCTCATTGATCATGTGTGCGAATAGTTTCTTTTTAAAACCCATGTACATATCTATTTGATTTCACTTGAATAGTACGAATAGCATGTAATATGTCTCTATTTGATTTCACCTAACGAAATTAGAGACATATTACATGCTACTTTGTACTGCTTAGGTGAAATCAAATATATATAAATATATATAAATTTTTAAAAATTGTTAGTTTTTCACTCATATTCATTTCATTTTACTTGAAAATTGAAAACAAAGAAGACATTTAATTTTAAATATTATTGAGCATTTATATTGAATTAAATTTGTACAGAAAAATTAAACAAAGGAAAAATATGACAAAAAAAAGTAAGTAATAGGTATTTTAAAATTTTAAGACAATCATAACAAGTAATTTAATTGTTGGTCTTAAAATTGATGAGTGAAAACTTCAGATTTAAATTGTAATTTATTAGTATGACTATAGAATTCGAGTTATGACCGATTAATTAGATGACCTTAT